TGATGGCATTTTTTTACTTTTTGATTTTATGCATGTATTAAAGTGTAAACAATTAGATAATTGAAAAGTCTACTGAAATTGAGTTATTCAGCTGGTTAAAATGTCTAAGCTGACTTATGTTGCTGCTAACCCTAGACTGATTGTTAGACAAAAGGTTGATACATGTTAAAGTATTTTGTGAAGAGACTATAAATGCATTAAATTATCACCAAGGTATTAAAAATAATGATATAGATCATCTATTATTGATAATAATGATATAGATCATCTATTATTGACCACCTTAGCTAAAAAAATAAAACTTCCATCTAAGATGGAAGTTTTATTTTTTTAGCTAAGGTGGTCAAGTAAAAATAGTCCACATAAAAAGTCTATTTGAAGGATAACATTTTTACAAAAGACATCTTACAAGATCCCATATCATCAGTCAACAATTTACAGTTCAATGGTTTAATTAGTTTTATGAAATAAAAAGTAAACGTAGATTTAATGAAAGAGAATTAAAAGTATAACTATGCACACAAATAAATTATTGATGAAAGTAAAATAATGGTAAATTAAGACTCCAATAATATCTTGTTTGATGAAATCAAATTTTTTTATTGATTTTATTTTCAATTGATGATAGAGAAATAACTAAACTTTTGATAAGTAGTAGAAATATAAAATATTTAGAACATAGAAATTAGTAGAAATGAATAAGTTTAATGGAATGAAGTTTTACTTTTTTTTATTCGTTGTTTTTCTTTAAAAAAAGATAAATGAATTGCTCAAGGGGTCAACCATAAAGAACATATTGCAAAAAAGGAGGGAGGGGGTTGGGATAAGAAGGATAAAAAGAGACATAGTGGCAGTGAGGGGGTTTACAAGAAAAGGACTTCACTTGAAAATTTTTTTTCTATTTTTATATTAAATAACATGGAAAACTATGTAAACGTGATTTTATGAATATATCGTTAGAGTATATATATATATATATTTTTTTTTTTCAAAAATGTTCTAGTAGTTGATGGGTATAAATAAAAAGTGTAAAATATCAGTGTTGTATGCTGCAACTTTTATTTGAATGTCATACTTTCAATGTCCATCAGGGCCGACGACACGGTTTTTGCAGTGTGTGTGTGTGTGGGAGGGGCACACTACCTTATTTAAAAAAAAAATCCTCGATTTTTTATAAAAATTGTCAACTTTAATAAATAAAAAGTAAGTGAGGAGGGGCACTTGCACCTCACAAGATAGATAAAAAATTTTTTTTTAATTCGCTAATAAGGTCTTATAATAACCTTCATCCAACTTATAAAAAAGATTATTGTCAAAAAGAAGTCCATAAAATATGGAATGAAATCAAATAAGTTTTTTCATTATTTTTTAAATAGGTAGTCATCGCCTGGGGGGAGTGAAATTGCCTAAAAAAGGATGGCGTCCTCTATGGACGGCTAAGGTATTTTTCATATTTTGTATTTAACGCAATATTTTCTTTCGTAAATACTAAAAATAAAACTCTAAGAAATATACTAAAGAAATTTTAATAGAATGATAGACGCTACATTTTTTTTTTTTTTAAATTATTCTCCCGTAGGCCCGAGGGGGCCACTACAGTCGAGGAGACTACTCATTTTTTTTTTTTTTTTTTCTCTTTATTTTTTTTTTTTTTTGTTGTAAATTGTGGTACAACCCTCTTTCAACTCTTTAACTCCGAAACACGAACCTTGAAAAGCAAGACCGCTGCGCGGAGAAATTAAGTTGAGCGCGGTACTTCCAGGGACGTGGTGGGAGTCGAACTCCGAACCTCTCGCTGACAAAGCGAGCGATCTTACTACAACACCACTACTTACATAGAAAAATGTTTAAGTATTACGAAAATAGTAATGGTTACCGATTTGCTTTGTAATGGTTATAAACAAATTTATAAAATCACATACAAGTGAAAAGTCAATTTTGAGTTTTGAATCAAATCATGAAAAGTTTAGGTTTATTGCATAAAACATCGACGGCCTTTTCAAGTGTTGGAAAAGGATATAAGTGAACGTCTGTCAAACATTTTATATAGTAAGTACGCATTTCATTCACAACAAATCGAACATCAAGAGGGGACCCAGAGCAAAGACACCACAATTGAAACTATCAATTTGCTTATCAACGGAAGAAATGTTACTTCAAGCTTTCCATTCTTCACAAGTGGTTGAAAGAGGGATTTTAAACATTTTTTTGAAATCGATGTTAGGTTAGAGCCCAGGCTATCGCACACTTGAACCCTGCCATTTGAAGCAAACGCTAATAGCCAATGAGAACTACCGTCGTGCAATATTTGAAGGTGGTCGCCAGAAACTGGGAAATATGTGAACTTCTTTTTCTGGCAGTTTAATACTGATTGGTAAGTTTCATGGCTAAGAAGAGCCTTACAAAGTAACTTTTGCCCTGCGTCAATAAGATTGTCGTTCAACCAGCTTTACTTTCCAAAATTTCCCTATCTGCCTCTGTGAGCTCATACAGTTCCTTTTTAAGCCATAAAGACAAAACTTGCAAAGATGATTGATTTGGCTGACATACCTTTGTTTTCCAGAAGATTCGATCTATGGTATACCAAGAGTGTTTCTGAGGTGTCAAGATAAGCCAGGAAGATCGCCACTTTTTATCACCTATGCTATTTGATAGTTGGCTAGCTAGTCCACTAGATGTTCCAAAGGTTTTTATTAACATTTGTGTGCTTACAGTATTACTTTCATTATTATGATTGGAGGGCTTTCCAAGAGGCTTCCACAAATCAATATGTATTTTTGGAAGTAAGGTAGTACCTTTTCTTTCAATTAAATGGGCCCACTTACTACACGTTGATTTGATACTTGCATAGGTCTCACACTTGTGTCCAGGGAATGAGTTCTCCGATTGTTGCACGGCATACATCAAAATCATCTCAACAATTTGCATGATTCTAAAAATATGCAGATCTTTTAACCAATATTGGTTTTAATTTGTCGTCTGCTCCTTGAAAATAAGTTTTAAGTTGAACAATGTTGTATATTTTTTTAAGAGTTAACCCCAATGCCTGTTTTTAAAGTTGCAACTCCTTTTTCAGAGATATTCCCTACAGTGAACGGACCGAACCATTTTTCTGAAAACTTCCCACCCTTCCGATCAAATAGTTTGTTGTTTTTCAATAATACAATGTCATCTACCTTAATTTCTGACTTTGACAAATGTCTACTATCATAATCTCGTTTTTGCTTTTTCTGCGCAACTTTTATATTTTCGCTTCAGACATGATTGTTGCTCTGACTTTACTTGTTAATGAAAAGACGGCATCAAAAAAGTTGAAATTGAATGGTTGTTCTACGTCTATATTTTCTTCTCGGTGTTCTTGTTTATTGCTTTTGTCTTTGACAAGGCTATGCTTCACATCAATCGGCAAAATTGGTTCGCGATTATACATCAGCATGAATGGAGAGTAGTTAGTAGAAGAATGTCGACTAACGCGATGAGCAAAAAGAATACCTTCAATAATTTGCGGCCACATTTTAGGATTACCTTTTGACGTTCTACCAATCCATTTGCCTGAAGGTGATAAACAGACGTAACTCTCTACTCTACTCCAGTTAGTTCGTGTAGTTGTTTACATACTTCGTTTTCAGACTCCCAACCCTGGTCATTGATTTGGATTTTAAAGCACCCATGCCGACACGTAATCTCGTACAAAAATTGAGACAGTTTGAGCTGATTTTTCCTTGATAGGTTTAGCCTCCGACCATTTTGAAAAATAATCGATCAAGACAATGTTATGACGATACCCATCGACTACTGGAAGATTACAAATGTCCACTCCAACTTATTCCATTACACTTGATGGTACTGGTATAGACTTCAATTCTACTTTTGGAGACTTTAGGTCACCTTGTTTTTGACATTGTTCACAGTTCCTAATATACTCACTAACATCAGCAGCAATATAATACCAAAAAAATCTTTGCGCAATATTGTCATACGTAGTGTTTTTTCCTCTATGTGAGGCCATTGCCTTAGAGTGTTCAGAATCTCCAATACCTCGGTGTACGTCTCTAATAACTTCCATTTGGAGTTCTTTGTCTTTAATAACCATTCTTTTATTATAAAATAAATGTCCATCTGTCACTTCAAACCGTTTTGTTGCTCTTCGAAAATTTGATTTAATCCCATAATCATGAGTAGATATAGTAGAAGGGTATCTTTTATTCCTAAGATAATCTTCTATGTTATCAAAATCATAATGTTTTCTTTCCTTTGCCATGAAGCAGCACACTTGTGTTTATTTTTAAAATTTATCTATTTGTTTACATATGAAACAATTATAGTGCATTATTTAAACATGCTTTTGCGTTCGAATCAACTTTGATTCCATTCTAAATCTATTTACGGTTTTTAAAAAAAAAAATTTTTTTTACTGCAGATTAGAACAACATCTTTGTAAATTTTCTTTTTGAATCGCAAGTTCTTGGAGTCTTAATTTACCGCTCCAATCATAATTTCCCGGGAAATTATGACTCATAACATCATATTTTCCCGTCAAATTTGTCTTCAAAGTCTTGATTTCCTGGGAAATCAAGACTTCAAAGTCCTAATTTCCTGGAGTCTTAATTTACCGCTACACCGGTCGAAAAGTTGACTTAAGTAAAAGTAAAAAGTAGCTAATTAAAAATGTGCTCAGAGTAAAAATTACTGTTACTTTTTTAACAGCCTGACAGATAACAAAGCTGTCGATACAAAAAACAAAAATAGCGTAGTCTATTTTTGTTTTTTGTTTTTAATTTTTTTTATTTTTGTAATTTTTTTTTTTTGCAGTGAACTTTTTTTTTATGTTCGTAAAAAGTGAAAAGAAACCAAGCTAATGCAGTTAAAAGTCGTTACGAGCGTGCTCAACAATTTTGTTTAATAATTTAAGTGTCATTTTTATTAAAGTGAGCAAAACTCAAAAAAACAAAAAAATTAAATCATAGTATTTGTGAAATTAAACAATACATAATAAATTTTTTCGCATATTATTTCGAATGTAGCAAAGTACAAAATTTTAGAAAGAAATACTTTAGTAAAAGTACACATTTAAAAAAATACTTAAAAAGTAGAAATTCACAAATTAGCTACTCAATTACAGTAACGTGAGTAAAGGTAATTCGTTATTTTCCACCTCTGCATTTATGCATGTTGTTATTTCTTATTACAGTACAATTACTCTAACTTGAATATTCTTAATTCGAAAACCTCCATAATTCGAAAGTTGATTTGTATTACCTAATAAACAAAGCTGTACTTAAATGGTTCAAACGAGTGAGAGCTAATAATGTACAATTAGTGGCTTGCTGGTAAAATAAAAAGGCTAATTTTTTGCGATAGAGTTTTGCTTCAAAAATTTTCAAGCTTCGGAAGGATGGCTAGAATAATTTAAGAAAAAACAAAATAATTTGGAGATAATTTGACAAAGGCTCTTATAGATATAAACCACGTCTTTGACATGAGTTTACTAGCTCATAAAAAGCAATCTACAATTACTGACTCTTTTTTCCAAATTTAAAAGTTTAAAACACATTATATATATATATATATATATATATATATATATATATATATATATATATATATATATATATATATATATATACATACTACTATACTTTATATACTAAACTTTAGTTTTGCTTTTATAGTAACATCATGGATAACGAAAAATACCATATTAGTTTAAATCAGTAGTAAAATTAAAAATGTTAACATCTTTGATAGGTATATTTATTTAGGTTAGTTACAGCTAAGTTTACATGGCTAGTTAATATGCTTTAATAAATTGCAATTTTTATTAATTTCCAAATTAAACATGTCGCATCCAATATCATAAACTAAGATTATACTGGTGTGTTTATGTTATTTTTGAATTTTTTATTTTAGACACATGGCATTTGTTATCCCACTGTAAGTTAAAACTAGTTGTAAAATTAAAGAATTTATATTGGAACTTCTTTTTCTTTTAACATTCATGTTTATTTATTTATACTATCTTAGAATTTGCTGCTTTAGAGGCACAGCATTTAGTGTCACATTGTAGATTTAAATTGGTTGTAAAATTTATATTGTAACTTGCATATTTATTAATAAATATGCAAGTTACAATATAAATTTTAAAATTAAATTTTAAATTCAACTAAATTTAGTTGAATTTAATCTAAGTTTATATCTGATGTGTTTGTATTATTTTAGAATTTACTGTTTTAGACACGTGGCATGTGGTATCCCACTGTAAGTTTGAATTAGTATATTTTAAAAAAAATTATATTTTAACTTGCATTTCTTTTGACGTTCATGTTTATATAATTAGATTACAACTAAGTTTGTGTATGGCTTGTTTATATTATTTCAGAATTTGCAATTTTGACACTTGGTATAGGCTTTCATACTGTAAGTTTAAATTGGTTGTAAAATTTATATTGTAACTTGCATTTCTATTGGCGTGTATATTTATTTAGTTGAGTTTCAAATATTAATAATAATAATAATAAGTTTATATCTGGCATGTTTATATTATTTTAAAATTTACTGTTTTAGACACGTGGCAAGTTTGAATTAGTAAATTTAAAAAAATTGTATTTTAACTTGCATTTCTTTTGGCATGCATATTTTTTTAGTTTAGTTAAGACTAAGTTTATATCACACTTTTTTAACTATTATTCTACTATATTCTATATTTACTATTATTTTAGAATTAGCTATTTTAAACAGGTGACAAGTGGTATGACACTGTAAGTTTAAATAAGTTGTAAAATTAATTTTTTTATATAGTTACTTGCGTTTTTTTTGGTCTGCATATTTAATCTTGTTTTGATTTATCATGGTTTTTAAAAGGTTAGAGACTTTATTTTTTGCTCCTGATAGGTATTGATGTATGTAAAATGTATAGAGTCTTTCAGTTATTAGATAATGTCCAGGTAATCTTATACTTTTTTTTCAATTTACATTTTAAAAAAGATATAATTTACTTGTTCCATTAAACTTTATCTATAAAAAACGATATCAGAGATAATTAAAATAACAAAATTTAGAATAGAAATTTATATATAATGAATTACCAAAAACATTTTCTATAGTGCTATCAGTAACATTTTAATTTGGTTCTATACCAGGTATGTTATTAAGTTTCCATATTTTCCTTATTTTATTTTATATTAATCTTTAAGGAGTTGACAGCATGATGTCCGATTTAAAGTGCGAACCTGTGTACGAGTAACAACAGTATTCAAAACCAAAACCTATTTAAACCAACCAAACCAAAACTAGCGACCAAAAACTTGGCATTAGTTTATTTTAAACATCTATTATATATATATGTGTGTTTTTTATATAAATGTACTAGCTTGAGTATAGTGTATTAGAAAAAAATTTTAAGTATTTTTATTGTAATTTAAAGTATATTGGATTAAATATTATAAATATTTGATTAGTTTTCAATTTTTGGTTAAAACGTTTTAATGTAGGATATCGAAATAAAATAATGCAATTAAATAAAAATGCAAACATTAACAAATATAAGGATTATTTGGTTATGAAGTCACAATTCTGGCCTCTTTAATTTTAGATTTTATTGATTTTAACGAAATAATCACTAAAATAACTTATTAACACATTTATTTCATAGGAATAACAACCGCGGAAAATTTGCTGCCTAGTGTAATAACTCCTTAATTTTAATGGATTATTCGTTGCACTAACGAAATAAATCCGTAAATTCAACGGACTTCAATTCGTTAAAATTTTAATTCGTTAACTTAACGGATTTCCCGTTACTGCAATAGCGACAAATACAATTCGTTATATATAACGGACTTTTTCTTAGAGTGTATTGCTTTCAGGCCTAAGAATTACTATTTATTTTTTTGACTTTTCTATTCGTTACTTTGAAAAGAATATTTGAAAAAAAGTCAAACTTTCTATAATTCGAAAATTTCTTTAACTCGAACTTTTATTTTTCCCCATAAAATTCAAATTAGAGAAATTGAATTGTATTCTTAAAATGGCATCAGTTCCATATTTTTGCAAATATGGAACTGATGCCCAGGGCCGGCGCGAGTAGGTGTCACGTGGGGGGGGGTGCTGTTACAACTTTTGCCTACCAAAAAAAAAAAAAAGGTCTTCGTTTTCCAAAATTTGCCGACTGCCATGACGACATTTGCCGACTGTCTAACCTATATCACCCCCACACCCCCCTATCGCGCCGGCCTTGCTGATGTCATTTTTTAATAACTTCCAATCACTGTACGTAAAGCCGAATTTCAATTCAGATATTTTTGAAAATTTTCCGAGTAAAACATTACATTGAACAAGTGCAAAGAGCGTTAAATAAGCGTTCAACATTGGTTGCACATGCGTACAATACACCGTTTTTTCATAGCAAAAATTTTTTTTATGGAAAAAATTTTTTATTAATTAAATTAATAAAATAAATAAAAATTAATAAAATAAATTAATAAAATAAATTATTAAAATTTAATAATTAAATAATTAAATAATTAAAAATTAATAAAATTAAATTAATAAAATAAATAAAAATTAAAAATTTTTTTTATGGAAAAAAATTTGAATGGAGAATCGGCTTAGCCCATGTTCTGGTCAAATTTTTTAGAAACCTCGCGGAAAACTACTTTAAGCATGCACAAAGAGCGTTAAATAAGCATGTTTTGAATGTTTAACAAAAATTCCAATACTGTAACTTTATTTACCTTAATATAATTCTGTTTACCTTACTTGTATTATATGTTAGGTGTTTAATAAATAAATAAAAATAATAAACAATAATTGATTGTACAGGTGGAAAAAAATCTGAATAGAGAATCGGCTTATTACATGCAAAAACGTGTTAAAGAACAAAACCGCCCATGTGTTATCACTTTTAAAAGGGTATAACACATTGCAAAGTAAACAAAACTTTGAAGAAAAATGAATAAACATAAAAATTCAAATATTTAAACTACATTTTCCATAAATATGATGGGCTAGTAAACACAAGACGCAGTATATTTCAAACTCACTCAAAGTAGTATTTGAGACGCAAAATGTTTTACATAACTGATGCGCTCTGCGAAGCATAAAATAAACAATGTAAATATAAAAGCCCGAATTTACAACTTATGTTAAAAGATAAAAGTTGTTGTGTTTTGGTTTTTTAAAACTTAATGTAAGATTTTTATTCAGTTATTTTACCAAATAATTACAAAAATGAGATTTTGTTTTGTCAGCCTTATATAAAAAAACAAAAACAAAAATTTATTAAAAAACTATTCATTTAGTTGTTGTTGTTGTTTTTTGATGGGGTGAAACCTTAAAAAGTACCGCCTGGCTTCTATAATTAAAAAAAAAAAAAAACTATTTACCCGACTGAATTGTGTCAAATACCCGACTAGTGGACTGAGTTCGTAAAAAAAACGCGACGCAACACAATTTTTTATATTCTGGATCTGTTGCCATAAGACGCTCTAACTTAAACTTCGTATAGCTTCGGAAAAACATTGCAAAGGTACTTAAAAGGTGTCAACTTCTGCTCTAGAACAGTGAAGAAAAGTTTGATGAGACCTAATTGCATATTACCGTAGCTTTAAAACTTGTTTGAAAAAAAAAGTAAAACTTTTTAAAAAACCTCACATATGATATTTAAATTCAAACGAACTTTTCGGTTAGATATACGTTTATATATATAAATACAGACAGGGTCGCCGAGAGCTTTAATGACGCCCGGGGCAAAGTAGTAATAATTAGCAGCGATAGCGCCCCTATTATCATGCATATTTTTTGAAAAAAATATAAAAAACAATCGCCCAAAAATCGCCGTAAAGCTAGCTAGTTTCCCACCAACAAATATGCAAAAATTAAACTAAAATTCAAATTAACTTTAGGTTTGTTGTTATGCTGTAGCATTAGCCACATGCGCCCTCGTTTTTTTTTTTATTGTCCTGAACTAGACTTGTGAATGTTTTGATTTTTTTATTGTAAATATAAAATTTCCATACATATCGTTTCCTAATAGCCAATAATCTTGATAAACTTATTTTGTTATTAAATAGTCTTTGAAAACTCTTTAGAATATTTAAATATTTACATTTTTTTGTAACAAATACTAAATTAAATGTTGACGTAATAGTCAAACAAAAGAAATTCAAAGCATGGCAAACAAGCCAAATAGCTCTTAACCAGATTTATGGTCAGACGTGCACACGCTTTTTTGTCCATGAAAATATTTCATTTTTTAAATATTTTCATGAACAAAAAATATTCTTTCATTAAAAAAAAAAAAAAATTATTTAAATTTTTGACTTGAATTTCGAAATTTTCGGTGTTGTAAGCTACTCAATGCAACTAAGGCCTGGTACACGTTTTTCCATACAAAAATATAAGTTTTTTTAGTTACAATATATGTAAATTTTTTCATCAAAAAGTATGACAGATATGGTATGTATGGAAAGATTATTTTAACCACTATTAAAATCTGGTAAAAGTAATGCGGCTATAACAAATCGTCAAGCGTAGTTTTATTTAGAAAAGACGCAATTTTTAACATAAAGTACCTTGGGCTTGGCTATAGATAAGTCTATGAACTTGATTTTTTGATAAAAGCACGTATTGGTGTTTGTTTTCAATGAATATAACTTGACATTTCTTATCAGAATTTATTTGGGAAAATTATCAATGAAAAACCATTTTTTTACGAAAATTGAAGTTACTATTTTTAATACCACACCAAAATGAGTATGTTAAACAATGTCACGTTAGATTTTGATAATATATGGTAATGTTAATTTTTCTACCAAAGTCATTTTTGCATAAATAATTATAAGTTTTAGCCCCATTTAAAAAACTGTTTTCGGTATTTAGTATTATTTTATGAAATACTCCGGACTTATTCGGCCATCTTGAAATAATAAATTATTATATCCAGAATGCGTAAACAATTAAAAAACATAGGCGGAAAATTTTACATTCAATTCGAATTTTTTGATTGTATAAACAACGAATCGGATTTTTTTTAAATTATCGGCATTTTTTTTTACGAGTTTGTTTGTTCTATACCTTAGTTGCATTAAGTAAGAGACAATAAGCTTTTACCTCAAAACGAAATCAAGGTACAATCGTTAAATAGGACCTCGGTGTAGTTAAGGCACTTTTAAAATATTATAGCGTCTGTATGATATTTTGTTGATTATGACATATTTCCGTGAAATGGTCTGGTCTGTGAATTATAAAAAGACGAAAAAAATTAAAATAATAAATTTTGCGCTATCATAAAATATAAATATTTGTAGCGAAAAAACCCAGACCGTGGAATCTTTTTTTTAAAAAAAAAAATCATCTTAAAATCACAATCGCTTGTCCAAATTTAAATAAGATTTTATATTAATACGTTTTTTAGGTGAAATGAACATTATAGTTTTTTAACATTAAGCTTTTTCTTGGTCGGAATTCGAGTATTTTTTGTGAAAATTGATAGAAATATTGTGTTTTGACAACTTTATATAGTTAATATACGTCAGAACCAATTAGAACTAGGATCAGTAGTAAATTAAGTAATTTTTTAAAAAGATTTTAACTAAATTCATGTTAATGTCGATGAGCGAAATTGATCTAAAGACTCCAAAATAGTGTTCTTTAGATACTTTATTACGGGTTGTAAAAAGATTTTAAAAATTATATATAAAAAAGAAAAATTTCTTCAAATATTATAAAAACCTTAAGCAAAAAAAATTATAACATTTAAAGATCTTGTTTGGGCATAATATGCTGACAAAACCATGCTAATTCCAAATAAAAGTTTTCAAATATTTTGTAAATCGCCTTAACTACGCGCCTTAACTACACCAAGACGCGAGTAAGATGTTCTTAGAACATTTTTCGTAGGGCGAAAAATAAAGCTTGAAGTTATTAAAAACAACTAATAAGACATCTTTTCTTTTAATTGTTCTTCTATAAAAAAAGAAATTCAAAAGAAACTTAAATATAACAAGATATAAAAAATATAGAAATTTTATACATTGTTTGCTGCATTTTATTACCTAAAGCGATTTTCATGTGTTCTATGGTATTCCACAAAGGCTTCCGGGATTAGGATTAACCAAGAATTCCGGATTAATTTTTATGTTTAGATACAGATTTAAATACGGTTTTTTTTGACAGAAAATTTAAGAAAATTGTTTATTTATTTTATAAATAATATAAGAACTTGAAAAACCAGGAAATTTTTATTACATATAATATTAAATTACCTAATTTTTGAAGTGCTCAAAAAAGTTCCACACCAACGCGAAAGAGGTTTTAACAAAGAACTACTAATGATATTATTAAGTTACTATTTTTTCTTTTAAAAGTAAAACCTAATTTATTTAGGTACCTAAGGTATAACTGATTCTGGTTTGAATAACTTTTGCTTTTTGTTTGTACTGTTTTAGAGTATCATTTATTCTCTTCAGTATATTAATATTTTTATTTGATTTTGTTGTTCTTCTTATTTAGAAAATGATCACAAAAATTCTATGGCTCTTCTCCTTGGCTGTGATTTATAGTTTCGTTTTCGTGACGGGACAGAAATATAAAACGTTTTATTACAGAAAGGATTCAAGTATAGGTCATGGTGTTTGTCGTGGTGGCAATTATAATGGTGGAAAAATGAACGTGGAAATTAAAGAAATAGGAATTCCAACAGCCGTATTAGAAGAATCATTTTTTGAAAGCTTTTTTGATTTAGGTAAAAAAACATCGGAATCTGGTAAATATCTTTCAGAGGAAACAATATCACTTCTTGAAAATGTTAAAAATGAAGCCGCAAAAAGAATAATGGATAACAAAAAATTTTTAAATCATCTTTCAAAAATATCAAAATGCTTAGGCGTGTTTGGATTTGCTTTCGGAATACTAAATGATATGACAACACCTTCTCCGCAGGACATTATTGATGCTACAAACAAAGCAATCGTAAAGCTAAGAAATGAAGTGAACGATAAACTTAAAGACATGAAAGATTACATTGATAACACTGTATTGAAAATAAAAGCAGATTTATTAGAAAATCAGTATTTGTACTTTGAAAAAAATCTTGAGTTTTGCGCAGGATTGTATCCAGCTGAAGAAAGCAATGACCAAATTTTATGTACTAGAGAGCTTTTTAAAAGTATAGTTTCACGTTCAAACAGTTTCAGACCAAAAATTTCAAAGAAAAATTCATGGAATGATAGAAAAAAACCATCCATAAATGAAGTAAAAGAAATAGAAGCTGGTTTTCACCTACATCGTATGTATTGTACACTTTATCTAAAGGTTGGCGGAATTCTTTTTCAAACTTATGAAAAAGACGAATCAAACGAAGGAAGGTTCTATTATAACTTCTATGCATCTCATCTAAAAAAGGGTGCAGAAGAATGCAAAAATTATACCGAATTTGGTTATAATTGGATTGAAGATGCTCACGTCAAGCGCCCTAATTGTAAAGATACATTTAAATGTGAAGATTCTGTTAAAATTGAAGAAGGTAACTTTTATAAGATTAAATATTTTTTTAAATTTTAAAAAAGTTTTAAATACTTCATTACAATATAGCTCAAATTTTTTATTTTTAAACATCTTTTGTTTGTAAATAATAACTAAAGATAATAGATTTAATAAAGAGTTAAAGATTCAATTAAATTAGTATTGTGAAACTTGCAATTTTATAGCTTGTACCCTGATAACTACTGCATGTACTTATATTTTTAAAAGAAAAATAATCCCTAAAAACAAGTCGAAAAGGCAACAAAAGTTAAACAATCAAGATTTAAGTGTTTTTTCAATTATTATCATTAAGTCCTATTATCAGCTTGAAATCAAAAAAATATCAAAATAAAATTTGAATTTAAAATTTAGTTGGAATTGAAAAAACCGCGGTTTTTAATTTGACAATGGCTATAAAATTTTTGACTATGGTTATAAAAATTTTTAATAATTTTTAAAACCTCCGCTTTTCCAATGGAAAACTATAAGTTAAACATTTTTTTATGTCCCAATAAAACCTGCGAGTCTAAAAATTTTTGTCTTTATTTCCTAATATTTATATTTCAATATTGTTAAATAGATTTTTTGAGAATGTTAAACAATTTAAGTCAATAATTTATCTAACCATTGCAGTTTTGAAACTCATTTTTTTTTTTGATTTTTGGTTGTTGTAGGGTGTAAAAAGAATTCAAAAAATCTTGTTCTCTTTTCAAAATTTTTTACACGAACCGGTTTAGATAAACTAGAACTTAAATGTCTCATTTTACCCCTCATTACCCTCATTACCCTCATTACCCTATGTTTGAAACAATTCGTATAGCGAAATTTTTAACTATAAATTGAATAAATCCCTTTTTAGAGCAAATATTAAAATATTTTATAAAATAAGTAAACGACGAGTCGAACTATATAAAAACAAAATACTTTATTTATATTAATATTATTATTATTTTGATTAAAAATTTTTTTTTTATTTGTCTTTTATTATCAATACGCAGATTTAATTAGGGGCGTATATAAAATAGGAAGAAAAATAGGAAGGGGCGTATATAAAATAGGAAGAAACCCATAAGCAAGGCCGGCGCGATAGGGGTGTGTGGGGGTGTTATATTTTTTATAGAAGAACCCCCCCCCCATCAGTGATTTTCAGTCGGCAAATTAGACCCTTAGTCGGCAAATTGGACCCTTTTAGACTAGGTAGTCGGCAAATGTCGACCCTTTCGTTATATGTTAGTCGGTAATCTAGACAATCGCGCCGGCCCTGCCCATAAGCAATTTTTCCTTTATAATTTTGGAACTTTGTTAGCTTCTTTGTTTTGAATACCCGTAGCAGTTTTATTATTTTTCTTCTTTAACAACAATAGCAACATATTTAAAAAACAACACTTATTCATTTGCAATCGCAAAAAGTTTTTTTGTTTTTGGGAATTTTCATTCTTAAGTAATTTTTGGTTTAGTTCAATTTATATCAAGAAATATTTATTAAAACTGAATTTATTTTGCAAATTATTACTTAGAATTTAGCCCAAAATAGAATAAATAGTTTCATAATTTGAAGTTTGGAAACCTATGTTATATAGATTTCAAATTAAAATTAATTTATAATGATAGATTTCAAATTAAAATTAAATTCGGTTGCAATAATATAATATAAATCATTTTTACATAGTTTTTTAGCTCGTACGTTTTTATTTATCAAAAAAAAAAAAAAAAATTAAAATAACTAAGTACAATTAAGTTACAATGATTTATTAAAATTTCTGTAATTAGGATTCCGTAATTAACCATTTCTACGGTACAAAATACGATATATAAGTATATAAGTGTGTATATATATATATATATATATATATATATATATATATATATATATATATATATATATATATATATATATATATATATATATATATATATATATATATATATATATAATAATGATATAAAAAAAGACGTTTTAAAATCGTTAATCAGGCGTTAAAATCAGAATCAGAAATACTATAATAAAAACATAGAGTTTGCTCGGTAACAAAAAAAAAAATTATTGTCTGTGCATTCCGAAAACGTTTAAGTTCAGAAAACTTTAATTTTTATAAAAGAAAACTAATTTGAAAATAATTTTTAATGTTTTATTGAACTGCATAAAATCTTATTTAAATACCGAATGTTTGGAAGAATCATTCTTCTATTATATTTTTCTTAGGTTTATTGGAAACACACACGGCAGACTCTATTCGTTGTTCTTGCGTATTTGATGGAACTCAGAAAAGTACAGATACCTGTTACCATAACATGATAATTCGGGCGGACAGCGATAAACCAGAAGATTGGTCACGCTGGGAAATTCGTGATAATGGTGTTGGTTCCGAGCTTACCACTAAAGATGCTGCCGAAATAATTGGAAAAAAAATTCTTATCAGAGAATCAGAAGAATACCTGGAAAAAGAAGAAAAAAATATTTATCAATATTGGTACATTAATGGTTTAAATCAGGTTAGATTTATGTTAAAAAATAAATATCCTAGTGGGAATTTGCTCCTAAAAAGATATATGTTAAACAATGACTTATTTTGCTTTACGATTGCTCAGTGAAAACAATTTCTCAACAAAATAGCTCATAACAAAATAGCTTAACGAATAACTCTATGTTTAATAAGTCAAACCCATCTAAAACTTTTGAAAAAGAATAAAAGGATTATACCAATTTTTTGGGTCAGGTTTGGATTATAAAGTTAGCTTAACGTTAAAAGAAAGCAGTTTTGTAGCATAATTAACTAATTTGATCAGTGTTAAGGTAGGGTGATTTTAATGAGATTTATTTTTGACGGGGCATATTATTCGTTTTGATGTCCTTTAGCAGCTTTGTTTACATTAAACTACTTTTGAGAGCTGTTTTAACATGGCTGTATTTGCTTGGATGATTTGGTCAAAAATTTTAAATTTATTAGCATAACGACATACTTTGTCATTATAAATATGTTACCTACAGAATATATATTTTTTTGAAAATGTTTTCCACCAAGATATACATTTGCTTGTGTCATATTGTAAAAAATGTTAAAATCCAGCGACACTCTGCAACCTTTGTCTTTTACATCAAATTAATCATGTAAAAAGTTTTAGCTCATAAGATCATGTGTAAACTTAATAGTCTGGAGAAAAAAAGGTTTTTACTTGCTAAAAATTGAATTTATTTAAATAATGATCTTTACAAATCATTATTGAAATTGATGCAGAAATGCACAATATCAGTTTCTCCAATTCTTATTTTTTACTTTGTTTGTTCAATTTTTTGATCGCAAATACAATATTTTAATTAGAGGCATCTTTTTTCTCTTCTTTCTTGCTACAAGAATAAAATTTTGTATTTGATTTTCAGATTTAATTGCAAAGAAAGCTTGAATAAAGCTTTTATTTAAATAAAGTCATTTGTTACTGGCATATTTTTTTCACAAACTTTCTGTAGCTCTCCAAATCACCCAAGCAGCTAAAATCTCCCTTAATCCATTGATTTATCTCCCTTAATCCATTGTTACATTTTATAATGGAATTTCAGTAATATATAGACATGTTGAGCGGTCCACTGTAGTTTTGGGCATCCGTTACTTAGTGGACGATTAGTGGCAACCGCCAAGAGTGGCTAGCCAATGACTAGCCATTTTTAACATGTGGGAAAGTTATTGGCCGGCCATTTGTAGCGGCTGCCACTTATAGTCCACTAAGTAAACGATGAGCAAAACTCCAATGAACCGTTCAAAAATGCCTATAAGTGTACTGCAAATCCACTAAAACAATGTTTGCTGGGTATCTTCCTCAAAAAACCAGTTATGTTAAAAATGATTCAGCATTCCGGACTAACAAGGTTTGGAGAAACCAGATGGCTGCTTAAATTAGTTACTTTTGCGGGCGGATCATGTCTGAATATCTTTGGCTTAACATTGATGAGCGAATAAAATATTCGCTCATCAACGTTAATCAAATATAATGTGTTGTCACACATTGTATTTAGATAAATATTTTAAGCTTTTTATTAGAGCTTTTTCTTTATACTTTCTATCAAAAAGATTTCTTTAGCTTATAAGAGTCTTTCAACGTATAAAAGTCGCATCTTGAAGCATAGGCTGCTATTCTAATTTTTAGGAACTATTTAATGACAAAATAACTAAGGATATTAAAGAACATATTTCGGACGTATTGTTATTTCGAACGCGTACTTAATAATCAAATTAAGATTCGGATTTTAAAAGAAATTTTTTTATTTTAATATTAAGATTATTTATTTTAACTTAAGTAATTATTTTAAAATAAATTATTAAAAAATACCAAAAAGTGGAAGACATGTTGAAGCCTAGCGGAAAAAACACAAAAAATAGCAGGTATGTTGAAGCCTAAGAAAAATATCTAAAATATTTTTATATAATAAACACGTAGATACAAATTAAAGATCAACTTAAACAGCGTAAAACTCAGATGAGTTTATATTCTAATTAAGGAGTAAAGTTTGTGGGACGTGTTTTAACAAATCTAAAGGGTTCTATGCCAACAGCATTCTTTTTTTACTTAAGCTTTACAGGGTTTGTATTCCATACGTATATATTTAATCTGTAATAGGGTTTGTAATCTATTTTAACATATTTTTTTAGTTAAATTTTTAAATGTTTATAGCATTACACATATAAAAATTGAAAAAAAAAGTTTATTAAGTTATAAAGTAATTTATTGTTTTTTAATTTTATCAAGGAGGTATAGTAAAACAGCTGGAGGGAAAATAAAGCCAAAAATTGTTTAAAATTGTGGTACACTCTTAGTAGTGTAATTATTCCAGAGGCAAGTCAAAATGGCCCTTTCGCGTAGAAAGATTAAAATGTAGTAGGGGAGAACCTTAATGAATGGGACAGTTTTCGTAAAATGCATTTTTTGAGGTTGATAAATTTGTTTAAAAATCACTTTGAAAATAGTTTGATAACTGTTAACTCTCGTACTATGATAAACAAAAACGAAAAAATTGATTCCGCATATGGGTATTGGTAAAAAGAGAGTTTAATAAGACCATGGCATTTGTCCCATTCATTAAGAACTACTCATTGAATGGGACAAATAAAATTATTGAATGGGACAAATCTAAAAAATTAATAAAAGAAGAGAGATCCTAAGTAACTTTCAAGCCAGTCAAGCAGTAAGGGTAGTTTCTACCATTAGGGAACCCGAAAAAGCTATAAATATGGCCGAATGTCTGAATATATTGACAAACCTAAAATAGTTTTATTAAAAAATATATGTATATTAAAATTAAATAAAAAACACGAATAATTGTTTTTAGTAAAACAAAAATCGTTTTTTAAATGCTTGGATATAATTCCCAGTAATGACACATTTCCAATAGGGAAATGAGTCATTGCCTGCAGCATCCCTATGCTAAATTATAAATAAACAACTTAATACCATATAAAGTATCTAGTTTACTTTCAAAAAACGAAATAACAAAACATCTTATTAGATATTTAAAAAATTCATTGTATTTATGTTTAACCAAAATATAAAAATCAACAATTATTGCTTGTTGCAAAGTACATGAAATAAAAACCATCAAAGAAAGTGTAGAAGATATCAACAGTCAACTTCACATAGTTCACATTCATAATAACGCTTCTTGCTGTTATTATTACAATTACCACATATCCACTATTGACAAGTAAAACACTGAATCCAAGCAGGCCCAACGAAATTTTTCCAGTTACATTTGCATATTTTGCAAGTATTTTGTTGTTGTTGGTTTACGGGTGCATTTTTTACAGATGACACAATTAAAAAATCTGCATCAAAGATTTCTGTTTCTTTCCCTCTTTTGAGGTCAATTTTTCTTTTTAGATTTTGTGTGGTAATTTTACCAGTTTCAAAAATGTTCTTCTTATTTACTGTCTTTTCTGGAGTTTTAGTTAATATGGTACTTTTACCCTGCTTTCTTCTTTTTTTAGAATCTTTTCTTGGGGGTGCTTTAGGGTACGGATGAATGGATTCTGGACTAACTATTTTGACTGATGATTCTGAAGAATCAACTTGTTTATTTATTTCATATGATTGTTGATTATCTGGTTGTTTAATTTCTGGTTGCTCAACAAGAAGAGGTCTGTCACTAACACTAGATGATATGAAATCGCTTTCCCCAAATATTTGTCTATTGAGTGGATAGATCCCACATTTAGAAAACCCACTGCAAACATTTTTTATTGTGAACGACATATTATATGCTTTGCATGCTAGCTGAGGTAAATTATATATGTTAATAATTCTCCCTGGATTGGAGGCCAACCATTCATTCTGAGCCAATCTAAAATAAGATTTAAAAGGACCAAACACCGAAACATCCAAAGGCTGCAATCTATGACTGCAGTGTGGTGGAAATGTTAATAAAATCAAAGAGTTTTCTTTCGCAAATGTTATTGTTTCAAATGAAATGTGGCTTTCGTGGTTGTCCATTAATAACAGCACTGGATGCTCCACAGATAGCTTAGCATGGGAAACAAAGTGCTTCATTGCAACTAAAAAGTTCTCACTTGTCATCCAACCACTTTTGTTACACAGCCCTAAGCTTCCTGTTGGGGCTCCACATATCATAAAATCCTTGTAATTTACTCTCGGAAATATAAATACAGGTAGAACTGTATTACCCAAAGCATTCACAAAAGCTAACATTGTCACCAATGAACCTCTTTCTGCTGAAACAGCTTGTGAAACCCTTTTAGTTCCACGAGTTGAAATAATCTTTGGAGGATCTGTTACTGTTAATAATCCTGTCTCATCTGCGTTAAAAATACATTCTGGTTTGAATTTATATTTTAATTGAACTTCTAACAAGTTATCAAAAAACATTGACACCGTATGTTCATTAAAAGCAGTTGCACGAGCAAGACTAACTTTTTCTGGCTTACGTAGTGACAATTTTGGATGTCGTATCAAAAAACTTTCCAACCATTGCTTTCCTGCCATTTTATTTTGGTGCCATGACTCTGGAATACTGTTAGAATTTAATGCAATTCCGTACTTGTAGGCTAATTGCCTAGTTTGTAATTTAGTTAAACCATAGCACATATTTGAAGACGTTTGCAAATAATCTGCAATAGCACTTTCCTCAGACACATGAAATATTTTTCTATTTCCAATGTTTACAATGTGTTTATAGTCTGGCAGCTTTTGACATCTTTCCATTTTAACAGCTCTACCTACTGCAGATTTTGATAAACTATACATTTCAGCTGCATCTCGTATGGAAATACCCTTAAGAACACTTTTTACTGCATCTTCAACATCTAAAGAGTTTTTACGTATTAATTTTGTGTTTGGTTTCATCTAAAATAAAATTTGAAACTTCACAAAAAACCAAATATATGCCATATGCAAATATTGAAATACAAGCATGAGATATATAATTAAAATACACACAGATATACACACACATATATATGTATGTATATGTATGATACATATAAATACATACAGTATATGATATAAATACATATGTGTGTGTGTAAATAGATATACATAAATGTATATAAATACAATAAATAAATTCAAAAAAATAATTATAAGTATATATATATATATATATATATATATATATATATATATATATATATATATATATATATATATATATATATATATATATATATATATATATATACATATATATATATATATATATATAGGCTTCCCACTATATCCCCAAATGACAGGACAGGTTAAAAACAGTAATACCTAAACAAAAATACTTTACAAATTTAAAAAGTAGAGACATTTGGGTGTCGAAAATTGGAGTTTCATTTTTCTTAACTTTAGTAATCGCTGCAAAATCAGACACAGAAAATTGTTTTTAAAAATTACTTATTGTTCTTCAAAACACAATAACATCCAATGCCATTACGTTTAGACCATAATAGAAATAAAGATTTGGTCTGTTGAATGGTTGTGTCAAACACTTATTACCACAGGAGTTTGGATAGCCAACCGTAGATGCTTCTATGCAAATTTGATTTTGTCCCATTCAATAATTGTCCCATTCATTAAGGTTCTCCCCTAGGTAGTTGGTAAGCTTTGAAAGCTGTATCCAAAATGCATTATTCCCTTAAAAGATGAATGGATAAGTTTTTTAACAACTTTTTGAACTATTAAGAAGCAATCACAACAAAAACACGATCTAGGTTAACTAATCATTTTTGAAAACCTCGATAGTAGGTATAAATATCAAACTTTTAGACAATCTCTACTACCTGTTTGAAATTGATATTTTGCTTCACTTTTTAGGTTATTAAAGTACGTTTTTTCGGCAAGAACTTATTGTATCTTTCCAGAATTTTATTTTAAATTGAAATTAAAATGGTTAACTTTTAATTATGATAATTACACGGTTTTTAGTTAAAAGTTATGTTATTACAAAAATTGTTCCTTGGAAAATGACGTGTTTTTACTTAGATTGTTCCCAGGGCTGCCGAGCGCTTTAATGGCGCCAGGGGCATAGCGTTGAGTAGGCGCTCCTTTAAACATGCATAATTAAAAAAAAAAAAAATTAATCAAATGCAATCAAATATATATATATATATGTCACGCTTATAAAATGATTTTTTAAATTGTGGTTTATTTCTGTTAAAATCATTTTACGGCAGTAATTTTAAAAACTATATCTTTAAAATTACAACTAAGCAACACAAATACAACATAAATTGCATTATTAGGCATTCTTTGGAAATTCAAATAACAGAAGACTTTCTATATAAAACCCTCTTTTTTTGCTTTTTAACCGGTAAAATTTGTTATTATATCATCATATGATAGAGTCTTAGCCAACTCATTTTTTACTAAGAGTATCATGATATCCGGAAGGCGTTCTTGTCCTGTAGTGGCCCTACAATATTTCTTTATCAATTTTAATTTACTGAAAAATTGTTCACCCTCTGCAACAGATACTGGCATTGTATTAAAAATTCGAAATAAAATATATACATATGGTAAATTAGGCTGTATGTCCATTGAATGTAATTGGTTTAAAAGGCTCGAAGAGTTTCCATGAATAAAAAGCGAAGACTCCTTTAAACGATTAAGGTACAAAATAAAGATGTTTACCTCAAATTGATTCCCCGGGCTCTTATAGCAGAAAGCTGCATTTGCAGGTTCATCATAATATCGTTTTGCTCTCTTCTTTCGTTTTGCCGAAAATTCAGTTTAAAATTCTACAGGACCTGCAACAGCTTTTGCTTCAACCAAAATATTATTCCGTGATGAGCAGATGCGGCCAAGACCGCTTATTAGCTGGTAAATTAGTTAGTGAAGTTGACTGGAACAAACGGCTTACTTCATCTACTACTAGATATTATGTAGAGTTTTATACCAAATGATCAAAATCACAGCAGTTTGAAAGGATTCAAAAAACTTTATCAAAAAGTTCGCTTGATTTAGCATGTCAGCAGTATGGTCAAGATCCTCTATAGTATAATTGAGCGCAGCAATAATTTCCGTGGTTGTTTTGCAATTGACTTAAAAACGGTAATCTGGTATCGGAAAGCTTTTGAAGAGAGATTCTAGTCAATTCTTGCAGAATCTTTCACCTACATGGACTGCAGCTGAATAATATGTAGAGAGCTTGGATATTACCATAAAAAGTCTTCATCTCAGCGCAAGATTCAATTGTATTTACTTCAGCTAAATTAAAGCTATGGGCGCCACAAGGAATATATAGGGCTAATAGATTTTTCTGCTAAACTAACGCTTGTGCCCCGACGTAAATTCCAGCCATATTTGAGCCGTTGTCGTAACCTTGGCCACGGTATTTCAGCAATTTTTTTAACTTTTATTAAAACATCACAAATTAGTTTCACAGTATTCCCTCTTTTTTCTCCTCCATATCTTCAACGCAAAAAAAGCGCACTTTTACCTCCTTTTGGTATGATGTAAAACATAAAAACAGCATCTTACTAATTTTCTAATTTTTTGTAATATTTTGATCTATATAGTTTAGATTGTCATCAAACGTAAAATATTATAACAAAATTCGCTAATATATAAACCATCACAAAAAAGAATGTATCGAAAACCATGCAAAGATGAGACATGATGCTAAGAAATCGTATTATTTTTTTAAATAAATTTTTTGGTTTAAAACTTATTTTGAAGGTAAAATAAATCTTCTTTGGTGTAGAAAATCCTATCGTTCTCAATAAGAAATTATAAAAACTAATTCTTTAATCAAAATTTAAAGGCTATTTTTTTGTTTAGATTCACATATGGGAATCAATATCACAAAAATTTGATGATATCATCCGACAACAAGAAACAGTTGTGACTTTGCCTGTGAAGATTTCAAAGAAAGACAAGAAACGTATTAAAGAACTATTTAAACAAGCTCAAACTCATATTGTAACTGCTTTTTCAAAAACATCCACTAACGCAAAAGAAAAGAGCAAAACAAGCAAAAAACTAGCGTAAAAACTATTATCATGTTGTAATGAATTAAAAGTCTTAAATACATATTATTATAATGTAATGAATAAATTTACGTTGAAAATGTATTAAAAAGTAAGGACTAGAAACACAAGTTTTTAATCTTCAGTGAAACTAGAAAAATTTTAACGGTTTTTAGAATCTGTTTCAAAACTTTCGAAATTGACTCTAATGGCTTGGCAATTAGCAATTTTATATTTTAAAACAAAAATACCAAAAATTTTTAAGTAAATTTTACTCAACTCAAAGTTGAATATAAGAAAGTATTATTATCATAAGCTTAAACAATAGAATGCATTGCAAAAAAAAAAAAAAAAAAAAAACTAATCTAAAAACTTGAAATTTTGAAATTAATTTAAAGACCAATAAACTGTTCGCAGCTGATTTTGTTTACAAAATAACATTTATACTTCCTAAACATCAGTAATGTCAATTTTGAGAGAGCGGCATTTCGATGGAAGCAAATACTTTAATGCTTCATTTTTAAGTATTTATGATGAAAAAGTTTACTTTTTTTTTCAAATAACGAGAACATTAATATAACCAAAAAAAAATTTTGTTCTAGTATGTTTGTGTAGCTAATTTAAAAATGTCCTTCATTATATGTAACATTTTTTTATATATTAGATGTCCATTCGATTATTATTATCAGACGTTAGTTCTACCTTTGTAGTACCTCTGCTCTACATACCTCCTTTCTGCTCTACATACCTCCTCTCTGCTCTACATACCTCCTCTCTGCTCTACATACCTCCTCTCTGCTCTACATACCTCCTCTCTGCTCTACATACCTTCTCTCTGCTCTACATACCTCCTCTCTGCTCTACATACCTCCTCTCTGCTCTACATACCTCCTCTCTGCTTTACATACCTCCTCTCTGGTTAAAGAATGGAATATCAGAAAGTCTCACAACTTTTGACCAACTGATTATAAAACAGTTTTTTATGAAAATGAAAACGAATTATTAAAAGATTTAAATTAGCTATTTGTATATATAAACAAACACTTTATTTTTTGTGGGAAGAGATAATTGATTCAAATGTCTTAAAATAGTTTTATTACCAAAAGCAAGGTTAATTCAAACTGAGGTTTGCTTTCAGACTTCAATAAAGACTGTTTTAGTTAACCTTTAACAATTAAAGTAAGGTTTTTTTGTTTTTATATTAGTCAAACAAAGAGTGTATTTGATAATAACGATAAGAAATTTTTTTTTTTAATTTTTTTTTTATAAAAAGTAATTACAAATTACTAAAATTCATTCAAGTTCATCATTTGTCGCGTTTATTTTAAACTAAATATCATCCAAGTTCATCATTTGTCGCGTTTATTTTAAGTTAAAAGAAGTTTTGTTTACTATTGCATTAAATGTCGAAGATGAAACATTTTATTGGTGTTTTTATTCTTTTTTCTAAAACAAAATTATCTCTATAATTTCAAAGTTATAAATGTTTTAATAACATCCCTTTAATCAATATTTTCAAAAAATTACCAAAAGCCGTAAAGCTCGGTTTGAAACAGCTTTGTTTATTTGATTGTGAATAAATTAGTTTAAATTAAAATTCCCATTAGTAAAAATTTGTAGTTTTTTAAACGTCCACTTTTAAGATTTTTTTAGATTTTGTATTTCATATTTCATATTTCAATTGAAAGTGTTACCTAGTGTATTAAAAATTTACGACCCTAAGCTTGTTTAAAATACTATTAATTGCACTATTGCCAAATGCAAAGAAAGTAGTTTTTCTGCACTTCAACGTTGTGCAGGCATGTCTGAATCACCTTCTATTTTTTGAAGGTTCACAAATCCATGACTCATTACCAGACTCCATCAATCTTACTAGTATTGCACAATGTTTTATAATTGGTTTAATATAATGGTTTTATAAATGTTTTATAAAATGATTGTCGTGTAAAAATTTTTGGTAACAAATCGGCATTAAAAAATAAGATGTTTATCATGATATCGGAAAAAAATATTATGAAGGGTTTTATTTAAATCTGAATATTCTGTTTTAAACTAAAACTTGGATCAGTGGACTTTAAAATTAGATGCGATTCGTCCCCGGAATTTCTTTGAAATAAAAAGAGGATGATAGCTTTATTACAAATCTTGGGTTGGTTATCAAACATTTTATTGAATGAAAAACTCAATCAATTAAATTAACAAGTCATATTTAATCTCAAAATTATTTCTGAATATTATTTAAAACTGTATTTTTTAGTGTTGCTCTATTACTGGATTAATAGTGCTTTTGGTGTTATTCAAATAGCGTATTTTGACGGTTTTTACTTGTAACATCGTCGCCACTTTTCATCGTAAGTAATTCTAAAAATCTGACAAAGTTATCATATGAATAAAATTTTAATTTTTAGTTTAAATTAAATAGGACAATAAAGTTTCTTTTGTTTTTTTAATTTTGTTTTTATTATATATATATATATATATATATATATATATATATATATATATATATATATATATATATATATATATATATATATATATATATATATATATATATATTTTTTTTTTTTTTTTTTTTTTTTTTATTAATCACCCGCCGTATATAATGCAAGGTAAATTATTATAAAGTTACATTTTTGACAAGAAATAAGTTTTTATTTTGGAATATTTACTTCAAGAAATTCTTTGAATATTTTCCTTTGCTCAAATGAGTTCCAGAACTCAATTGCATAGCTTAACTTTTGAAGATCTTTTTTAGGAATTATATTTCTTAACACAATAATTTTTACTTTTTTTTTTTTTTTGGATTAAGCTCTCTAGATTGAGTTCATTCCAATTGCATAGACCTATGACATCATCTAGAAAACCTATGACATCATCTAGAAAACCTATGACATCATCTAGAAAACCTATGACATCATCTAGAAAAGGGTGCTTAGCGGTTTGGTTTTTAAACTGCGAATTTACAATACCAGAGGTTGTTTTATTACTCAATATGCGAATAAATAAGTTTAACTTGTTTTGCTGTACAATTGTTGATATATCTTGGATGTAAAACAAAGAATAAATATAATTTTTGCTGTGTTTGGAAACATTGAAGAGTGACTTAAGTGCATTCCTCCCTATTATATCAAGCTTTTGCATTAGTACGTCTTTATAGTCGCAAAGTTCAAGACCATACGTAAGTATCGGAACCGCCAATGTTTTATATAGCTGGACGATAGAGCTTGGATGAGCAAAGCGGATTCCAGACTGAATAAGAGTTTGAATTATTGCCCTGAATTTTGATATTCTATTATCAATATTTGAATGATTAAGTGAGGCAAAAAAAGAGCTTTTAGTATTCCATATAAAACCTAGATAATTAAGGTTATCATCCAGTTATATTTGTTGGTGGTTGATTGTTATCGTCCAGTTTGCAATTTGTTTTTTTCCAGTAAACAAGAACTCGGTCTTATTAGCATTAAACTTAATACAATTTGCGTTAGTGTATGTATTACAAGCTGCTATAAGCTTTTTTATTCCAGACAGGGTAGAACTAAGAAGAATGATGTCATCAGCGTATGCTACAACACCTGTGTAATTTCCATAAATTGATGTCCCTACGATACTTTTATTTTGTATGGTTTCAAGTAGGCTTTGAATATATATATTATACAGGTGAGGAGACAGAATCGATCCTTGTCTCACCCCCTGTGTTAGATAAAATGGATATGACTTGCATCCTAGATAAGTGACAGAAGCACTGCTTTCATGGTACAATGACGATATAGTATTAATAATATAAAGCGGTAATTTTTTATTATCGTATAGTTTCTCAAAAAAAATGTTCCAGCTACAGCTGTCAAATGCTTTTTCAGCATCTAGGGAACAGAGATAGACAGGTGATTTGTTGTTGTTGTAATGTTTTACAGTTTCACATATAACAAATTTGGCATGTAAGGTTGAACTATTTTTAGTAAAACCGAATTGAAGAGGATAAGTTTCTTTTATCTCTGGACAGATTCAGGGCCGGTGCAAAGGGGTTATGACACCCTAGGCAAAACTTCAAAGGTCGCACCCCTTTTACGTAAAAAAATCAAAATAAAATGCAAAATAAAGTGAAAACACCAGGTAAGTATTTATTTATTTAAAAATATCAAAACTGTACTTTGCGTGCCTTTTTCTGGGCAAAATCGATCACAAGGTCCTTCAGGTCCAGCTTGTCTGCAAGTTTGTGCTCAATGGAAAGAGTTGCCAACCTAACCAATCTGTCTTGGCACATGGATGATCGAATATATGTCTTTATCAATTTTAGTTTGGAAAAACTACGCTCTCCACTAGCGACAAAAACAGGTAATGTCAGCAAAATACGAAGAGCAATACAAAGGTTGGGTAGACTGTCTTCCAAGTTTTGGCAAAGAATAAATCGAAAAACATCTTGAGGAGACTTTGTTTCTTCAGAAAGTCGTCGTGCAATAGACTGTAGTTCGCCACACAAATCTGATGCAACTAAATCTCTGTTATCACCATGTTGTAAAGCAGATTCTAGTTTCATGCAACATTCCAATATTTCTTGTGAAGTTTTACTCTGTAGACCATGAATATGATATAAGAAACCAAATACAGATTCAATTGTTCTCATTTGTTCAAACCTTTCTTCAACCGACCTTATTGCTGTGTCAAGTATAGCAAAGAAAAAATTCACTTTGAAATTTTGTTTTGGATCTTGCACAGGCTTCATATTCAGCTTCATATGCAAATTGCTTTTTTTCCCGCCGTAATCGTGGTTCTGCCTCAAAGGTTGGTGGTATCTCCAAATCCTTAGCAATTTCAGCAGCATCCACTAGCATTCTTGCAAAACCTATGTCACTCCTACAGTCAACCAAATAGGCTTGTGTGTGTTGTAACTGTTGTACAGCAGCATGAATATCCAAATCTTTAGCTTGGAGCTGCTTACTTGTTATATTGATTTCAAAAAGTATGTTGTACCATACAACAATTGAAACCACGAACTTAAACTTTGCAACACTATTCGCAAGTGCTTTAGCATCACTGCGTGCAGTGCTTCCTGAGGATCCAGTTAGAGAAGTATCATCAGCTATTTCTAGCAGTGCATCATATATTTTACCAAGTTCATATT